AATGTAAATGATTCGTCATTTATCTCATTTTCGTTTCCAAGTGCCATTAAGCATAGGTTAGCAACCTCATTTTTGCACACTTTGGTTTCTGTGTTGCTTTTATCATTATCTTCTCCCCATGCTACAATCATAGCTTTCTTCTTGTCCTTCTTGAATTTTTTCTTAAGTTCTAGATATTCTGATTTGTAATGTCTAGGTTTGTTTCATTCGTAGCAGGTTACTTCAGATTTTTTGCGATTTTCTCATGTTTGAAAATCCTGTTGTTGAAGTCTTTTCTGAAAAAATTTCGTACGCCTTGTTTCTTTCTCATAAACCTTTGGAACTTCCTAGTGATGAATGCCATTTCTTCATTCTCATCTGAATCATCTTCCTTATTCTGTTGATGTTTCAAGGTGGATTTGAAGGCTATTCCTTTCTTCTTGTTGTTGTCCTCATTTTTCTTTCCTTCTTGCATTATGAGCTCATGAGTTAAGAGAGATCCCATTAACTTATTTAGACTTTGCTTTGATAAATCCTTGGCTTCGGTAATGGCAATGACTTTTGTCTCCCAATTTTTTGGCAATGACCTAAGCACTTTTCTTACAATTTCAGCATTAGTATATATTTTTCCAGTAGAAGTTAAACCATTAATAATATCAGTAAAGCGAGTAAACATTTGAGGAATAGTCTCATCAGGTTTCATTTTAAAGAGTTCATAATTATAGACTAGAAAACTGACTATAGATTATTTAACTTGTTTGGTTCCCTCATGAGTCACTATATGCTTGTCCCAAATTTCTTTTGCGATTTTACATGTGGAAATTCTGTTGAACTCGTTAGCATCTAAGGTGCAGTACAACATGTTTGTAGCTTTGACATTAATTTTGGGCATTTTAGTATCTGATTCATCCCACTCATCTTCAGGTTTTGGTACCCTAACTCCATCTATGGTTTTGGTAGGAATTTTTGGACCATTACAAATAAATTTTCAGTATTCATAATCATTAGATTGAACATGTATAGTCATCCTAATTTTTCAATAGCTAAAATTTGTGCCGCTAAATAGTGGTGGCATATTGGATGCTTGTCCCTCGGGTAAAGAATAATTAGGGGTTGCCATGATTTACTCTAAGACGGTTAAGTCACACAAACTAGAGTTTAGGCTCTGATACCAATTGTTATCCCAGATAGGCAACCCAAGAGGGGAGGTGAATTGGGTTATTAAAAATTTCACAAAATTAAAATTAACACAACATTCAGAATTTTAATAAATAAATAAAAACAGAATAATAATTATCAATATAAAAGTAAAAGAGATAGGGAGAGAAAATCAAACACTGCGATTTATAGTAGTTCGGCACGCCAGGCCTACGTTCACTCCCCAAGGAACCTCCTTGAGAATTTTTTACTATCAATTGAATAAATATACCACCAAGTTTGTGGATTTAGCACAGGACTTACTCTTATCTATTGAGTCTCACTCAACAATAAATGCCTTACCCTTACAAAATCTCTTACAAAAATAAGGAATAAGAATAAGTGGTACTTAAACCATTTTTTACAATAATTATCTCACAAATAGTAGATATGAAAGTGTAAGAACAAAGGCTAGACTTAGGCCTCGTTTGAGAATAGGCTAATTTAGTAACTTTTTGACTATTTGGCTAAAATATGAGCTAAAAAAAGCTAGTATGTTTGGGATGACTTTTTTACTTTTTATGAAAAGATGTGCAAAAAGTAGAGAGAAGAGAGAATCTTTGACTTTTTAGTATGGGTTATCGACTTTTTGGCTAATTTAGTAACTTTTTGACTAAAAGAGAAGGTTCCCAAATGAGGCCTTAGATCTGAAAGTGAAAGAGCAGAATACAATGTACTTAGAATTTTGGAGCTTAAGAAAATTTTCTCTTCAAATTCTTGATTTTTCTCCACACACAACACTTCTATTTATACACAAAAATATACCTGTTGGACGCTCCTTATTGACGTCATGGCTTACATAAGCACGCTCCTAATGTCATGGCTTACATAAGCACGCTCTTAATGTCATGGCCTACATAAGCACACTCCTTGATTTTAAATAGTCAACAAATGTTAATAATTAAAAAGATAAAAATAAGACTAATTTTTTCTTTTTCCTTTTTTGTTTTTTTTTAAAAACATGGAGCCACCGTTTTTGTAGACAATTTAATACAAAATTCACAACTTTCAAACAAACAAATGATTTGTTCCATCTTGTTTATAATATATATATATATATATATATATATATATAACTCCATCTTTTTCTTCTTGTTTGATTAAAATATGATATAATCAATATAGTGTAAAAAGTTTAATAGCGCACGTAATGTATTCTATTTATATTATATGCATTATATATATAATGTTCTAATCAAATATTTACATACAGAAAAATCTGTTTAATAATATTTATGATGGATCTGAAAATATATGCCCTCTTTGTAGAGATTTTAAACTAAATATATCCTATCACTACATTTGGGTATATCACTTTTGTCCAAAGAAACAACTCATTAATATCACATTTGTCACGATAATACAACCAATCAATCATTTTTGTCAAAATAATATAATTAATCAATTTTTTAATATTGTAAAAAAATGAATAGTGATCAGCCTAAATTTTCAAAAAGTGAATAGTAAAGTTTTCAAAAATATTTTTATTTAACTAATATTTGACAAATATATATTTTAAAATGATAATATTTTGTGTCAAATAAATATGTATATTAAAAAAATTCAAATTGTTGCAAATTATATTTTAGACATCATTAAAATTAAATAATATCATTAACAGAGATAAAATGAAATTTGCTCCCTTTTTTTTTGCATGTTACTGCCTTTTGTTTTCCATTATTTTCTTTCCAAATTATCATTAATTATTCAATATTTCACAATCGAGTGGAAAGAGTTTGGGTGTTATATCAAGATTCCAAGTTTAACTATCTTAGAGTATATCACATTAGTTAAAATTTTGCTATATTTTATTTTAACTTAAAAGTTATATTTTTTATTTTAGCCACACATCTTTTTAAATACATTACTGTCAAATAAATTCTCTATTCATTTTCTATATTATTTAAGGCCAGGTTTGATAAGTCCCAAAAAATTAAAAAAATCAAAAAGTTACACAAAAAATAAAAAAGTCATTACTATTCACAAATAAAAAATATTAAAAAAAAATATTTTATACATTTTTGTAATACAAAAATTTGAATTACACTGTCAGGTGTAGGCAGGTCATACACTTTTTGGGCAAAAAACAAAAAAATTACATATGTAAAGCCACAAAGTTTTATGGTAATGTTGGGCTCTTGGGGCCCACTAAGGGTTCTGTTTTGATAATCCGAACCGTTCAATATGTAGAACTCGTCGAGTACTATACATTTGTAAAAAATCACCTTAATTGGATATCGTTAACTATATGATCAAATCATTTTTGCGTAAACAAAACGGTAGGTGTCATAGTTAACTGTTGAACAAAAAATAGACCGATCATATAGCTATCGATATCCGATCAACGTGATTTTTTACAGGCATATAATACTTGACGAGTTGTACATATTGAATGGTTCAGATTATCAAAATGGGACCCATGGTGACCCCCACGGACCGAAGATCACTGTCTAAACACTTTGCCCCAAATGAGGCGATAATTTGCTATGTAAGACACGCTACCCAGTAGGGCAGCTGTACAACCTACTCAATTTTCTTCCCCTATACATTTTATTTATAAAATTTTTTATTACACATTTTTTCGTAAAAAGACAAAAAGTTAACCAAAATATCTCTATTTTTTCCCTTAACTTTTTAGTCTAAAAAGACAAAAAGTGTACTTATTTATGACACCCCAAACAACCCCTAAATATCATTTGTATTCATTTTAATTATAATTATTTTTTTATAAACTCAACACAATTAATTTTAAAATATAAAAAAGTATTATTTTTTAATATTTGACTATGTGAAATCACTAGTTGCATTTGTTAGGTCAAAATCACTAAAATTAAAATGAGTAACTTGATAGCTAGTTTAATGAAAGTGAAATTTAGTGATCTACTCACTATTTTAGCTAAACAATAAAAATAATTTAGTTTGATAAAAATGTTCTTAGAAGCTAACTATTCAGGTGACAACACTAAGGGGTGGTTTGGAATGTTCTAAATAAGTATATTTTTTGACTTTTTATGAAATATGGGTTAGATTTGGATTAGATTTGAAGTGATGTAACTTAAATAAGATAATGTGACTTAAATAGAATAGTGACTTTTTAATTTTTTAAGTACCTGACAAACAAAGCTTACACCTTCTTAACCATACTCAATGTCATGACTATGTGTTTTGTGACTTACTCTACTACATGATTGAGTGGCTATTCTATGTAATACCACCTATTAGTCTTTATTTTACTTTTAGATACCAAGTTTGGGAAGATTAAATAAGTGTACTTTTTATCTTTTTGGACTAAAAAATTGAGATTGAAAATATGGATGTTTGGGTTAACTTTTTGACTTTTTATGAAAAAATGTGTAATAAAAAATTGTAAAAATTGGTTTGTAGAGGAAAATTTGAATTGGGAGTTGTGCAGCCGTAATTGTTGACTTTTGGTGAATAGTGTTAACTTTTTAACTTTTTGAGTAACTTTTTGGCTTTTTGACTTATTTGGGACTTCCCAAACTTAGCCTAAGTTAAGATGGATCTTAAATATAAAAAATGCTAAATAAATAAAAGAAATTTGACACAAATGTTTTAAAAAAATAGAGAGAGAGAGAGAGAGAGTATTAAATTACAAAAGATTTAGAAAAGCAAAAATATGATTTTTTTCAACTCTTACCAAACAAAACCTAAATTTATTTGTTTGTGTAGTTTACTTATAACTTAAAGCAAACTACGCAAAACGTAGTCCACTTGGGGTGGTGGCGCAGTTGGCTAGCGCGTAGGTCTCATAGCTTCTAACGAGTTATCCTGAGGTCGAGAGTTCGAGCCTCTCTCACCCCAGCCCTTTTTTGGTTTTTTGTCCGGTTCGATCCTTCAAGTGAAACCACATATGAAACCCTAATAAAACCCTACCTCCCTTCCAAACCCTAAAATCATTTGTATGTCGGTTTCCCTCAAACCTCACATCTTCATCTCTCTCCAAAATTCTCCAGGTGGGCATTCTTGTCCTTGATTTTAATTATTTATTTGTTTTTTTGCAACGTGTCACTCCTAGAAGATCACAATTATAAAAAAAAACTAAATCGAATGCAATTTTATTCATTTATTTTGTTCCTGCAGATTCGTCTCCAGCACTGAATCAAAGATGGTGAAGAGAAGCAAAAGTATGTAAATCCATATGTATATGTGTTTTGTTGTGTATGTGTGTGTGTGTTTTTTGTTAAAAAGATGAAATTTTGATGATGTGATTGTTGTGTATGCAGAGAGTAAGAGCAAGAGGGTGTCGTTAAAGCAGAAGTACAAGGTCGTAAGGAAAGTGAAAGAGCACCACAAGAAGAAGGCTAAGGAAGCCAAGAAGCTCGGCTTGAATCGCAAGCCCAAGGTCGAGAAAGACCCCGGTATTCCCAATGATTGGCCCTTCAAGGAACAAGAGCTCAAGGCCCTCGAAGCTCGGCGTGCTCGTGTTCTCGAGGATTTGGAGCAAAAGAAAGCTGCCCGCAAGGAGAGGGTAATGGTCCAATGTGTTATTGGTTCAATTCTTATGTTGTGGTCTCACAAGCTGCTAGAATTGTGTGCATATTGGTGATTTTATGAATAAACATGTAAACTGTGATTTGTAGGGGAATATATCTAAGCTAACATGTGATGCTGTAGTGTGAAAGTATATAAATTTATTTAAATTAAGCTAGCATATAGCCCTTGATAGAGCTGAATGGTGAAATGCAACTGAATTCTCTTGCATTTTTCCAAACATTTTGGATTCCTTATGTTGAAAGGAAAAAAAAAAAAATCAAAAGCTTAGTTTGAAAATTTTCACATTGGAAATCTTCGCATTGTATTTTATCTGGAAAAGCTTTTGAATGAATTAAGTATGAAGGTAACTATCAAGATTAATTTGAAGGTGCAGGGGACCGTCTGATTAAATGTTTTACTTTCAGCATATGCAGTCTTATTTGGGTTTAACTGGCCTATGTATCCAAGAGGGCCTTAGCATTTGGTTGGATCTTATTGACCTCTCATACTTGATACTTTGTCCATTTTTCTTGTTAAATTCCCCAAGGTTTTAGGCTTATAGAATATTGATTGCTATTGGATGTCATGACAGGATTTGTTTCTAAAATTTGTATCACCACGCGTTTGCTTGAAGGTATAACTATTTGATACACATCAGAATGGAATGAATGAATTTATTGGGGACTAAGTTTGTTCTTTTCGTGTTGGTCTTTTATTTTGCATTATTATTATTTTTTCTCTTTATCCTCTATGAACTTTTCTTTTGTACTTTTGATCTTTAGATGTTATAGTTTGCCTCATTTAAAAGAATACCATTTTGGCCTTTCTAAATAAATGGGGGTCAAGCGGTGTGCAGGAGCCTTGTGTACTGGGTTTGACCCTTCTTTTTCCCCTTCCAATTAACTAGGATTTGTTACACTTTTCAGGCTAAAAAGAGAAAGTTGGGTTTACTAGAGGATGATGATGATATCTCCAAATTGGCTGATATAGCTTCCGCTAAAGAACAAAATTTTGGAAAGGGGAAGAAGTCTGATGTTTCCACTGTAATTGGTACAATCAGGGGTATGCTAATACTGAATTTGCTTGGAAGATGCATTTTGAATGGACTAAATTATGTTGTGTCCATCATTTCCCTTCTCTTCAATTGTCTCGAGTATAATTAGTTTTTCTACAGATAACTCAGAGAGGGCTTTCTACAAGGAGTTGGTTAAAGTCATTGAAGCATCAGATGTCATTTTGGAAGTGTTAGATGCTCGAGATCCACTTGGTACCCGTTGCATTGATATGGAAAGAATGGTGTTAAAATCTGGTGTTGACAAGCATCTTGTATTGCTTCTTAATAAAATTGGTAATGGCTCTGCACTCCCCCTCCTCTCTGGTGTTTTAACCTTATTGGGACATGATTAATATAGTTTGACATGTTCATGAAGTTGCTCATAAAAGCATTGACAACAAATACATTGTGGCAGAGCTTGACAAATAAAATATCTCTTGGAGGGTACTAGCTTGGGAACATATAATAAATTCTATCCTACAACTCACATTTGATTCCTCTGTGATGTTAGGGAACCAGAATTGTTTTTAATTATATTATTCAGACCACTGTTTAGCACAAATCTGCTTGCCTTGACAGTTACTCTGATCTGTATGTGCATCTCAGATCTAGTACCGCGAGAAGCTGTTGAAAAATGGCTCAAGTATCTTAGGGAGGAGTTACCAGCAGTTGCCTTTAAGTGCAGCACCCAGGAGCAAAGGTCAAACTTGGGTTGGAAGTCTGCCTCGAAGGCCAAAAAAACAAGCAATCTCCTGCAAACTAGTGACTGTCTTGGTGCTGAAACTCTTCTTAAATTGCTAAAGAATTACTCAAGAAGCCATGAGGTACATCCAGAATAAATTTATTTAGGATGAAGATTTTTGTGTATTAATTGTACAATCATTTCCTTGAAGATGGAGAATTTCTGCGTAGTATTGCGCTCTTGGTTTGTTTAGTTGAAGTTCATTCACATGATGCTTGAAGTTTGCCTATATATGGGAATCAAAATTGTGCGCATGCTCTCGATGTGGAGACCATGCACCATCCACCATCTGATTATAATGTGAAGTTCTTGCATCTTCTATTGCGATGTACTCTTCTTTTTGGGCAATAATCAATTGTACAAGGAGTAATCTTTTTCTGTATTCCTTCTTTTTTTTCAAAGTTGTTATATTCTTTGGTGGCCATATATGAGATCTATCCTTGTGAAATGCTTTGCTTATTTCTTTAATCTCTGTGTTGCATTAATAGCTGATCCAATTAATAGCAATTTTTAATACTTCAAATACCTTTTCCCTTGTCAGATCAAGAAGTCAATCACTGTGGGCATTATTGGCCTTCCTAATGTTGGGAAAAGCAGCTTAATTAATAGCTTGAAGAGATGTCAGGTTGTAAATGTTGGTGCTACTCCAGGATTGACAAGATCATTGCAAGAAGTACACTTGGACAAGAATATCAAATTGCTGGACTGCCCTGGTGTTGTAATGCTTAAGTCTGGGGAGAATGAGGCATCCGTTGCTCTTCGAAATTGTAAGAAGATTGAGAAATTAGAGGACCCAATTGGGCCAGGTAATCAATTTTCTTTTCTTCTTAAATTTACTTTTTCGTCTTATAATAAAAATTATATATAGTTCTACAAACCAAGCCAAACTAAGTCTTGTGTCCCAATCAAGTGGGGTTGGCTACATAATTTTTTCCCCTTCAGCTCTATCAAGGGCTATATGCTTAGTTAAATTAAATAAATTCATATCTTTTTTCAAATTATGAAAATTTTCATATAGTGGTCAAGGTTGAATTTAACTTAACTTCCATGACTATGTTTTTGGGCACAACTGTTCTATTTAGCCTGTTTATTAAGGCCTTTTAACATGGTTTGTGAAATGGTTGAATTGAGTTGAGTGATATTATCTTATATGTAAATTATTTATGATGTCTTGCAGCCTGAAATTCCATGCTGAAGACTTAATCAGTCAAATCAATCATTTCCAGCATTGTTTTCATCATAGAAACACCTAGGTTGCATTTAGTAGAGTTTTGTAAATATGATTTGAGAATATGAGTTGTATTTTGAGTTTGTGAGTTTTGGAATTATGATTTGAGTGTAGAAAATTTGTTTGGTTATGAGTTTTGAAAAGAGTTTTGAAAATAATTTTAAATTGAGTGAGGAATTTTTGATGTGACATGTGATATTTGATATAAAAACTAACGACTCATAATTAAAGGCACAACTCAAAATTCTATACAAAACTCACAAAAAAATTTAAAAAATTTGGAAAATATTTTTTATTTAATATATAAAACATAACATGTGTCAATTCCAAAAAAAATAAAAATAAAAAAAAAATAACAAAAAAATTTCACTGGTAGGGACGTCCTATGGGACATCCGGGGGGTCGACCGGGGGGGACATCCGGGTGACAGAGTTTTCAAAGCAAAGCGTGGAATTGATTTTTAAAAAATCGTAAACAAACACGCAACTCAAAAACACACCTGGAATCACATTTCCAGAACACAACCAAACAGAGCCCTAGTTTCCCTCTGATTTTAATGCTAAGGCAATAGCAGTGCCAAAATTAACATGAGGTGAGAAACAACTTGTTACCCTGAAATTTGAGAGTGGAATGGGCAGACTTCATTTAGTTGACCCACAATAAGCTAGGACAGGGCTTTCTTGAGGTAGAGACCTAGTTTCACAGATGTCTGTGATTGTGTTTAGTTGATTAGTACAGTAAAATTGACATCGAAAATTTGATGCCAGCTCTGCCTGGTAGGACCTGCACTAACTATATGTATCTGTTCAATTCTGAACATGTTATTCTGGGTTGTGATGCCTATTTTGGAGCCATCTCTGATGTGGTAAAGGCCGCTTAATAACTTGTGCCAATATATGACTGTTTATATAGGTTTAATTTTCTGGCTATAATATGTTTTCTGTTTGCCACTGTATTGAAAAAGCTGATCCAAACATTTGAGACTGATTGGTTAAACTTTGTTTCTGTTTGTAACTTTTTGGTTGATTTCTCAGAAATAACAAAGTTGTATCCAGCATTTCCTGTTTACCGAAAGTTGGATGCTTTGTTTTCGTGGTTTTAGTTTCTGAGTTTCATTGTCTTCACACTTGATTTAATGTCTTTGACAAGCCATTCTAACTCATCTTGTCACTATTCTATTGACTATGCAGTTAAGGAAATCCTAAAACTCTGCCCGGAGAGAATGTTGGTAACGTTATACAAGCTCCCAAGCTTTGACTCAGTCGATGACTTTTTGCAAAAAGTTGCTACCGTTAGGGGTAAGCTCAAAAAGGGAGGTATTGTGGATGTCGAAGCTGCTGCAAGAATAGTCTTGCATGACTGGAATGAAGGTATGGCCAACTAGGCAATCATAGTTATTTGTCTGCCCTAACGATCCATGCAAAATGTCATTGAAAAATATTAAAATAGAATTTATACCTTAAAAGGAGCTCAAATTCACTTGACATAATGCCTGTGTTGATATTATTTCTCATTTCAGGTAAAATCCCATATTATACAATGCCTCCAACTAGGAATCAAGATGAACCGACTGAAGCAAAAATTGTTTCAGAGCTCGGAAAGGAGTTCAATATTGATGAGGTTTACAGCAACGAGTCCTCATTTATTGGGAGCCTTAAATCTTTTGATGATGTGAAACATGTTGAAGTCCCTCCAAATTGCCCTCTTACCTTTGATGAGCAGATGGTTGAGGTTTGTGATTTCTTCACAACACAACAATTATTTCCTTAATAGCTTTCTCTAAAATCTTTATGTGCACGGACCCTAAATTTGAAGTTCATTCACCTCACAGGCTAATGTACAGCCAGAACCATCAACTCAAAGCTACAGTCAGGTCAATGACACAACTGATAATGGTAGCGATAGCGATGAGGCCATGGCTTCTGAAGAAGAAGATGATGCACCCAAGGCCAAAACTGGTGGTAGCAGGCAAAATGAGAAGTTATATGCCGAAGAAGGCATACTCAACACCAAGTTGAAGAGAGCAGAGAAGAAGAGGCGGAAAAAAGCAGATAAATCATCTGCAGATGGAGAAGCTATGGATGGTGATTACGACTTCAAGGTGGATTATGTCAGGACTGGATCTGCCAGTGGGAATGGTGATGCTAGCAATCAAACAAGATTTGAGGTACTTGCATCTGGAGTGGAGCTTGATGAGCAGGATTAGGAGAAGAAACTTACAGGCCACAATAGAAAATTTGTTTCGTTTTTTTCCTTCTAAATTTTGCTATATTTTATTGACATTTTGGGAGCTTTGTGATTCATGGTTGAACAATGGAGTTTTTGTGTAATTTTTGGCTTTATTGCTATACAGTTGCTTCTTTGCTCTGGCCATCCATCTCGTTCGAGTTATTTTGTACCTGATTCTAAGCCAAGTATAACAGTTATGGGTAGATAGTAACATCAAAATATTTTCTAGTCAAGGTTTTAAAGTACACCATCCAAACCCTATTAGAAATAAAAAATGTGTTTGATTGAGTTTTTAAAATCTGTGTTCTCTATAATTATGTATATTCTCAAAAAATGAGAAATAATTTGACAAAAATAAATGTTGAAAAAACATTTTTTTTTAAGAGTGATTATATAGAATTTTAAAAATAACTCTACTTATGTGGCAAGGCAAAAAAAAAAAAAAAACTAACACAAAACATCACATCACAATGAGATCTATCACAATTAGAGTTTCTCAAAGCTCATTTTTTAGAGCTCTCAATCATTTTTGTTTTTTTAATTTCAATAAATATTTTTGTCTCAAAGAAAGAGAACCAACATTTTTTTCACCAAATTACTTTCTAATTCTTTACAGAGAAAAAAAAAATGGATAACAGATTTTGAAATAACTATGCCAAAAATTGATGATGAACTAAATAACTACATAAAATCTTCAAGAATTTCCCGTATTTGCAGAACCCTAAATTTCCATCGTAGGTAGGTTTTTATTTTCGGCTTTCTTTCTTTTTGCTGTACTTGGATGTGCAATGATTTCATTTCTCTCCATAAATCTTAGATCTAAAAACATGTAAAATTGTTCCTTGCCACAATTGCAATTCAATGTTCAGAAAGGGAATGGGACCAAAGTGGAATTTTCACTTTCCAGGACTGATGTCCCTCCACATAAATTGGATAACATTCCACTGCACTATCAGACTCTATACTATATAGCACAGCACATACTACAATTTTAAAGAAACTGTGATGGTCCATTTGACTTTCACTAGTAAATCAGAAAATTTTACGAGAACCTCCCTTACTGCCGTATCAATTGGTGAATCCAGCAATTGTTTTCACTAAAGAAATCAATTGCACAGAAAATGATATCACCCAACCGAGCCACATATCGACTTGAGCGTACAAAAGTATATAGCTTGTGTAGCAAATGTCATAGAAGCATGGTGAGTTATTATGGGAAAGCCAGCCTAAAACTACAATGCATCAAGAGAGCACAAGCAATACAACAAGGAAGTGAAATCATCAGTCCTCATTTGAGGCCCCTAAAAGGGAGTCCTTGTCGTTAGGGCCTGGATCTGTGTTAATGTCAGGGCCACTCGAGTTGGATAAGGACGGATAAATTGCTGTTGTTGTTGCATCAGCGGCTGAGGGTACATTTGCTGTAGTATCACTGTCAACAACAGCTGGTCCATTTGCTGTAGATGATTTCGGAACAAGTCCTTGTGCTTCCATGGCTTCCCGCGCTGCTTTCTCCTTCTCTCTTTTGGCTCTTTCGAACACGTCTTCCTGCATAAGTAATACAGAATTTCAGGTTAACTTTTATTTTATTTTATCCTGTAGATAAGATGTGTGCAACTAAAAGCAACAAACAAGGAAACAATGCAAGAGCAGATGATGTTTAATGCAGCTCGCAGTATGAAACCAAGTCTACATGTTCATGCACGGACAATTTTGAATTTAATTATGACTTGAGGTTCCATGATTATTAATGGCTCTAACTACAAACCCTAATGGAGCCCAACACCCATTCTTAGTGCCTTTCACTTTTGTGATGACCAAAATGAAACATATCATAGATCGAAGGTTTTATTTGAAGTGGCAAAGAAAATAATGGAAGAAGACACTTTGGATGAGCTCAATATCACAAGGATATAAACGTTGGTTGTTATCATCACCCAGTAGCTGTAAAATGCAAGAGGAGTAATACATACATAGCATGCATTTTTTATATTGGGGGAATAGCTTCACACATCTGGAAAAGAGATGAGTTTTCTTTTCTTGTAGTCTTAGAATAATTTGATAGAGCATAGAAACTTTCTATTTTTATTTTCTAATTTGTAGATTTAGTTTTCTCAACGGAAGCGAGACTATGATTAAAATAAAATAAAAAAGATTCTTTCTCAACACTGCAGCAGGGAATTTCTGAGACAACTCCCCAACTACAGAATCTCAAAATAATAGTAAATAAAAGCATCAAACTCTTCAGTTTGAGGCGCATAAATCCTAATTGAACTACTTTTTACCTGGAAGTCCTGCACTTGTTTCTGCTGCTCAGCTTGCAACCTACCAATTGTACTCAAAAACTCCCCTACTGTAGACTCGATGCGCTCATTAAGTGCCTCTGCTAGAGCCTTACCCAAGAAAAATGCATCCAGAACACTTCTACTGTCATTCTCACCTGAAAATTTCAGTACATACTCATTCACATAGACAATGAAAGTGTCAACATTATACACTAATATTATCAATGTCATACTAGAATTGAAACTCTGGTCAACAAAAAGCAGTGTGAGTATCAATTTCTCAGTGAAGATAGAGAAACTGTGGACCTAAGATGATAACAGAATTGTGTTTAAAAAACTAACAGATCGATATATTTGCATCTTACACAACATGTTAGCATGTTCACAAACTATACATAATTCACCAGTTTAATTAAAGCCATTATCCAATGACTATCCAGATGACAATCGCAATACCTTTGGGCATCATCACTTATAAAATCCACTCCAACTGATCCCCATTGGAAAAACGACCAAAACTAAACAATCAAACTCTAGTTACAAGCTTAACATGCCGCCCCCAAAAATGCAATTGCTACCACAGATCATGCACAATGATTTCTTTCTCAACACAATCGACAAATATAACTACTAGCCTTTTTTATCAAAATATCATTAACCACCTAAAGGGATAGCATTTTTTTTTTACCACGTCTTGCTAATGGAAAGGTCAAGTTCAATGTATGCATGTGAATGGGTAGTTTCAATTAGAAATCAATAATTTTGACTACAGTTTCAAAACCCATTTAAATTACCCCAACACGAAATGCTCCAAGTCTCATCACCCAAATTACCATCAAATCTTCAACAGACATCAATATTAAGAACAGCAATGAGAAACTCACATCAGGAAATCACAAACAAACAAAAAAAAAACATTTAGGTGTTTTTAGAGACAGAGATAGCCAAGTGACAAAATACCCACTTTAATTATTCGCTCAGAATCACATAAATACCCAAAGAATTTCCAAATTCACACTTGTTACAATAAACCCAAATCGCATGCACAATGAATTAGTCTAATTAGTATTAATTTCCAACAAAATCGATAATATAGAGTGGGAAAAGAAGCGATACCAGGACCAGGACCACCAGGTCCGAGGCTGCTATTGCACCTCAAACTGAATCTTGTAGGGTTGAGCTTGAGATCTGAGGAACATAGTCGACGAGGAATAAGAACCGAGGAGCTCAAACGGCTAGTTCTGGAGGAAATAGGAGTGTATACGGATATGGTGGTGGATGTTGAGAGTTTTGTCGTCATGTCTTCCTTTATTTTCTTTCTTATTTTCTCTCTCGAGAAAATACAGTAAACATTACGACACAGAGAGAGGTTTGGAGCAGAGCATGAGGAGATTATTATGCGAAGTTGACGCATCTGAACCGTCCATGCTCTTTATCTCGCCGACATGGTTTCCTTTCCGGGTTGGGATCCTCTGTCCCGAAACCATGCCCCAACTCTCGGTCCCATTGATCAAATGCCGCCACGTGTCGTATAGCATCCAACAGCATCAAACAAGTTGGTTCATCATCAAGAACACGCACACTGACTAAAAATTAATCTTCTTTAAAGCAACAATTTTCAATGGGAGCTTTTTTGATAAATTCATTTTCTAAGAGTTTTATTCTATCTAACTCATATTCTTTTTGACTATTCCATTAAGTTCAATTTGAGATAAGAAGACCAAAATACCATTTTCATCTACTTATGTTCCATTTAGTTCACATTATTTTCTTATATTTCAATAAGTCTTATGGGTGACATAATTACCAAAATACCCCTAATGTGAATGTTCACACCGTCAATGTGAATGTTCATATCGTCAATGTGTAGGGGCTCGGCCCATGTCGATCCTCGTGGGTGCCCGGAAAAATTCGAGTCAGGCTGGGCCGGCCCACAGGCTAAAAAAATAGGCCCGGCCCAGCTCGTTGATAATGTGAATATTCACATTGATAAGTTAATATTCACATTGATAGGAGTGTAAAATTGACCCGCGGCCCGTGGGCGGCCCGTTGCTAGCCCGTTGCCCGGGGCGGGGGGGCTGTAAATATTCATATTTTAACATTCACATTGGTAAGAATGTAAAATTGGCCCGTGACCCGTAGGCGGTCCGAAGCTCCCCCCTAGGCCGGGGCGGACCCGGTCTGTTGACAATGTGAATATTCATATTGACATGTTAACATTCACATTGATAGTAGTGTAAAATTGGCCCGCGGCCCGTGGGCTGTCCGGGGCGAGCTCGGCCCGGCCCGTTGACAATGTGAATATTCACATTAACATATTAACATTCACGTTTGTAGGAGTGTAAAATTGACCTGCGGCCCGAAACCCGCCCATGGGCCCGGCCTGGCCCGGCCCATTTACAATGTGAATATTCACATTGACATGTTAACATTCACATTGATAAGAGTATAAAATTGGACTCGCGTCCTATGGGCGGCCTGGGCGCGAGCCCGGCCTGGCCCGTTGACAATGTGATATTCACATTGACATATTAACATTCACATTGATAGGAGTGTAAAATTGGTCCGTGGCCCGTGGCGGCCCGAAGCTTGCTCGCTGCCCAGGGTGGGCCTGGCCCGGCCCGTTGACAATGTGAATATTCACATTGACATATTAATATAACATTGATAACAGTGTAAAATTGGCCCGTGACCCGTGGGCAGCCCAAAGCCCGGCCCCGGGCCGGGCGTCCGGCCCGGCCGGCCCGGCTCGTTGACAACGTGAATATTCACATTGGCATGTTAACATTCACATTGATAAGAGTGTAATGTTAACCCGTGCCTGTGGCTGCCGAAACCCGCCACGGCTCGTGGCGCCCGAGAGGGCCCGGCCCGGCCTGTTGGCAATGTGAATATTCACATTGACATGTTAACATTCACATTGATAAGAGTGTAAAATTGACTCGCGTCCATGGGCGGCCCGGGTTTGGGTCCAGGCCTACCCCGGGTCGCGGGCGAGTTTCGGGCAGCGGAAAAAATTTTACACTCCTATCAATGTTAATGTTACAACATTCAATGGTGAAGTATTGCACATTGTCACGGGTCGGGCCAAGCCCGCCTCGGTCTGCAATCTGGCTTCGGGCTGCCCATGGGCTGCGGGCCAATTTTACATTCCTATCAATGTAAATGTTAACATGCCAATGTGAATATTCACATTGCCAACGGGCCGGGCCCGTCCCGGCCCGAGGTCGGGCTTTGGGTTGCCCTTGGGTCACGGGCCAATTTTACACTCTTATCAATGTGAATGTTAACATGTCAATGTGAATATTCACATTGTCAACAAGCCGGGCCGGGCCGGGCCGCCCATGGGCCGTGGGTGGGTTTCGGGCAGCCACAGGGCGCGGGCTAATTTTACAATCCTATCAATGTGAATGTTAACATGTCAATGTGAATATTCACATTGTCAACGGGCTGGACCGGGCCCGTCCCGGGCCGCCCATGAGTCTCGGGTGGGTTTCGCCCCGCCACAGGACGGGGGCCAATTTTACACTTCTATTAATGTGAATGTTAACATGTCAATGTGAATATTCACATTGTCAACGGGCCGGGTCGGGTCGAGCCCGCCCTAGGCTGCTGGCCAATTTTATACTCTTATCAATGTGAATGTTAACATGTCAATGTGAATATTCACATTATCAACAGGGTGGGCCGGGCCCGCCCCGGGCCGCCCACGGGCTATAGGCGGGTTTCGGGCAGCCACGAGGCGCGGGTTAATTTCACACTCCTATCAATGTGAATGTTAACATGTCAATGTGAATATTCACATTGTCAACGGGCCGAGCCGAGCCCTCTACGGGCCGCGGGCGGGCTTTTGGCCGCCCATGGGCCGCAAGCCAATTTTATACTCTTATCAATTTGAATGTTAACATGCCAATGTGAATATTCACATTGTCAATGGGCCGGACCGGGCCCGCCCCGGGACACCCATGGGCCACGAGTGGGTTTCGCGTCGCCACGGGACGCGGGCCAATTTTACACTCCTATTAATGCGAATGTTAATATGTCAATGTGAATATTCACATTGTCAACGGGCCGGGCCAGCCCCGGCTCGCGGGTGGGTTTCGGGCCGCCCACGGGCCAATTTTACATTCCTACCAATGTGAATTTTAAAATATAAATGTTCACATCATTAAATTGCTAATCGTTCAAAAATATTTATAAAGGTATCAAAATTGAATATAAGGGCATAAGTGTCCAAGAAAATAGTGTAAATTAAGAAAATGGACTTTATGGAATAAAACTATATATACATGGGACTAAATGGGTTAAAAAATTCCTTCATGGACTTCTTGGGTTAAAACGCTTCTAAATTGGACTTATCAATAAAAATCTCATTTTCAAAACCTAGACGATAAATAAATGACAAAAATTGAGATCCCAATACAAAATTTTGGGTAAAGTAATAAAAACTTGTGTCCAACAAACCGAGAAGGAAAAGACTTGAATGAGGTCTCGTTTGGGAATATGTTTTTTTAATATTTTTTTAATTTTTTGGTTAAAATATGATGTAAAAAAAAAAAATATTTGGGATGATTTTTTGATTTTTTACGAAAAGATGTACAAAAATTAAAACGAAAATAAAATATTTAACTTTTTAGTATAATTTGTTGATTTTTTGATTTTTTTTTAATAACTTTTTGACTTTTTGACTAAAAAAACCACTTGCCAAACGAGGCCTCATAAGGAAATTTTGGAGGGATCAATGAAAGAGAGTAGTTAAAAGAGAGATTAATTGTAGCATAGATTTTGGCAATGATGCTGATGGACAGAACATGGTGAATGGCTTTAACACAACGAAACACCAAATCATGTTTTTCAGTAATCGTGATTTGGACCTCTCTTTCTTTGTCTTTTGTTTTCTTTTTCTAATAGAAAATTATTTTCCTATATAATATGGAGGGAGGAAGGGAGGGGGAAGAGAAGAGGGGTGGCAACAAACAGTAAAATGGAAGGAAGAGAGAGCACGAAGGAGAACAGCGAGGCATAAAAGGCGGTGGCGAAAAGGGTTATTGTAAACACTCCATTTTTGACCGTCCTCAAGATTTGGACGTCATCGTTTGAACACTCGATGATCATTCATGCTCGTGTTCGTTTTGAGTTCTCGGAGGTCTCGACAGTGCACCTTGCCTCAAGATCTCTCAACTTGACTGTTTTGTACTTGGTTGTGGACCAAGCACTTGTGTTTTTGTTTCTAAGGGAAGAGGGTGGCTTGTTGGCTATTCCCTCAACCCACCGGCCTTGTTTTCTTACCATCGGCCAAAAATTTTGGCCGATCGGCACTCTTTTTGGTCGATCGGCACTTATGTTGGTCGATCGGCCATATTTTCTGGCTGAGCCTTGTTCATCTGCTTTATGCAGATATTTTATGCCAGCTGTCATAGCTGGTATCCACAATTCCCCCCTCCATACACGTGTATGGAGGGATTTGCCCCTTGGCTTAGCTTCTCCTAGAAGCTTTGAATTTGGAATTCTATAAGAGGGGAGGCCCTCCTCCCTTCTCAAGGGTTCTGAAATTAGGGTTAGAAGAGTTTGTATCTATCTATCTCTATATCTCCCTCTCTTCACTTTTGTGTGTGTTTTTGTGACCTAAAGTGTGATTTTGTCCTACTATTGCACACAAACACCTAGCACTACACCATCCTTGGTTGCTGAGGCATTAGGAAGCTGGTGTTAGGGTTCTTGAGCTGTTTTCGATCAGAAAAAGGTGCTGGTGTTGTGTTCTTGAAGGTGTTCTTCAAGGGTGAACATTCTTGCTTTAGATACCCCATTCTTGCTTAGGCTTTTAGCCCTTCTTGCTTATTGTTTTAAGCTTAGATTATAACTGATAAAAGTTCTGATTTTTAATGCTTAAGACCTTTGTTTAAGGTCATTTTTGTGTTTGGGGTTGTTTACCCCCTCTTAGGCCTTGTTTGACCTTGTTCTTGTGCTTTATTTTTAAGCTTTGAGATCACCTTGTTTTGACCTTCTCACCACTGAAATCCAGAGGGATTTCAATGGTGGGGATGGTGTTTTAAGGTCTCAAATAGGAGAGGGTCATCCCCTCTCCTTGTTGTCTTGAATGCTTGTATAAATGGCTTATGTTGGTGGCTTGTTTGCTTAGCTTGTTTTAGCTTCATTTCAGTGTGTATTAGGCTTTGTTTTGCCATAATACACCTATGTTTCAAGTTGGTTTAATGGTCTCTTGCATGCACCATTTACTTGCCTTGTAATCCCCTTATTTGCCTTAACATGCATCTTGTGTTTAGACTACCATTCTTGCATGTTTTGACTTAGCTTAAAGAAGATTTTGTTCATGTTTTATCATGTTTAAGATTTGATTTTAGTTGTATTGGTCATCCATGACTTGCCTTGTATAGCTT